GTGTTTTAGCAATTTTAATGTTATAAAGCTTATAATAGAAAAATAATATGTATCCATTATAGGATCTTTATAAACATTTTTAAAGCCCCACCAGTTATATAGAGCTACTTCCCAAAGCTATTTGCAGCTAATAGCTTTTTATGTGTTGCTCTGGATAATTTGTGTGTGTATATAAGTACATGCACAATGTATGGTTAAAGGAAAATCTTTCTTTAAGTTGATCGTATTGTGAGAAATCAACAGATGTTTGGGAAGAAAACTTTATTAAGGGATGAAATGGGGGATGCTCACATTCACGAATACAGTGGGAAACACCACTGTTGCCTCTTCATCCACCATGGAAGGGTGGAGAATACTCCTGAACAGCATATCTGGAAGCCGGAGAGTGTGTGACATAACCTCCCCCCCATCTCAGTTCTTAATCCGGTCATGTGTCAGAGAAAGCTAAGCCCATGACAACTCACCTCCAAATGTCATTGGCCAAGTGGATCAAGCTCCCATAGCACCAGGCCCCTCCAGAAGCTTTCTTTAATGGACCTACAACAGATAAATTAATAGGAAAAAAGGCATATTTTTGTTTGGCTTTGAGATAGGCTTTTACACCTACACTGGCTCAAACTTGAGATCCGACTTTGCTAGCCTCCTAAGTGTGGAATTACAGGCATGACCCACCATGTTAGGTAGTACATATAAACTTACTCTGTTCAGTGGTGTCTATCAGGAGAAAGATTTCCTACCTGCCATGACAGATATAGGTGGCCTCTTCCATTCAGGTGGTGAGGCAATGTGAACCCTTCCTTCTGATGGGTAGTTAAAAGGTTTCCTTTCAGGAGAATGGAGTGAATTTGGAGGAGAAATACTTCTTATTCCACTTATCTCTGGTATTTGAGGACATCCAAAGGACAGATGCCTGTGCACAGCATTCTGTCTGTGCAGGCTGCGGCCGTCGGTTTTTCCTCTTCTCCATGTTAGCCATGCAGTTTCAAGGTGGTGGTGGAAAGTAATTGAGTTCTGTCCGATCCAATATTAACATGCTTGAGCTAAACAAGGCTCCTTCTAGAAGCCTTCCTTAGAAAGAGGACCCAAAGATAAGGCGTGGAAGCAGCATGGCCTGCAACCTTGATTCCCACACTGTTGCTGTATAACACACTGCGGTGTTATTCACGCAGCCAGAACACCATACCGGAACACCAGTGCAGTACAGACTAAAAAACACAGAAGATGCCTGGAGTGAGACTCAGCAGTTAAGAGCGCTTACTCTTGACCTGGGTTTGTTTTCCACACCTGCATGGTGGCTCATGGCTGTCTGAAACTGCAGTCCCAGGTGATCCTCAATTTTCTCTGGTCTCCAGCGACACCTCATGCATACGGTGGACACATATACAAGCAGGCAAAATACTAATACATTGAAAATGGCAATAAATTTAGTAAAATAAAATATAACCTTGTTTACTGTTTATGATGAACTTTTATCGTTTGTTGCATCAGTTCTCACGGATCTACTGCATTACTTTTTTTAAAAAAATATTATGAAATTTGTGCTTTTCTCAACGAATGAAGCAATTTGCCCTTCTATGATGACTGTCCTTAAGAAGCGTTTTCGAATATCTTCACATGATTATGCAATTATCTACATAAGAGAAAATATTACAGTGCAATCACTCTGTTTATTGACTTTTAGAAACAATTTACCATGCCAGCATGGGAATTCCCCACTGAGGTTTTCAAACACTGGTATAAACCTTGTACTGAAAACAATGCCAACCACTGTTAACACTGGTATAGGCCAGCGTTCAGAAGAGAACTGCCCAAAAAGGTGTGGAACACTCAGCTGGCTCCACGTCTCCATAAGGTGGACACGTGCTGTGGTGGTCATTGTCACTGCTTGGTGTTCTATGTTGTAGTCTCTTCAGTTTCTGCTCTGCTTCCATTCTCCGGCCCCTGTGTCTCTCTAAACTCTGTTTCTTTAGTCTAAGAATAGTGTGACCGCAAGCAGACCTCACCTCACTAATACAGACAAAGGTTTAAGAAACTCCTTATGGTTTGGCTGCACAAGGTACCTTATGGATCCTGGGGATCGGGGCATGAGAATGGCCACCATTTAGCTTATTGTAATTGCCGTCTACAAGAGTCTAACAGCATATCATAAATCAGGATGATTGTTTGCTGTGAATGGTTCATTTCTTAGGTTTACAATGCGTTAGTATAATATGGATTGTTTTTCCTTAAAGTACCAGTTCCAAAAAAAAATTTTGACCCTTAGCATCAATTAGAACTTGGAGTCATTTTAAATACATCAAGAGTTTGCTTCTAAAAATAGGTTTTCTGTAGTTGCTATTTTGAGGGTCTCAGTCATCAGGATTTAAAAGATGGTCCACGTGGAAGAGTAGAAGAGTTACCCCTACACACAATTAGATTTCAATTTTAATTCAATTATAGGTTGGAAGAGAAAAGATTTGGTTCTAGTTAATTCCTGTTTTTAAATTGGATGAGCTTAAAACACTATCTATAAATTAATTTGGCATTGTTATATTGTTTTGTATAAGAAAGAAGAAATGGAGAACAAAAAGATCACATGATTGCTCTTGATGGGGAATATTGATTTACTTAGACGACACATAGGTCATTGTTGAGTATGTGTGGCAAGGGGTTCCTGCTTCATTCTAAAGCATACAGGATTTACAGTGGAGCCAATAGTCTCCTACCTGCTCTTACCTGGTCTTCGTTTGCTGAGTATGTTATTTTAGGACCTCATTTTTTAAAGATTAAATATGACACTGTCCGATTAAGGTTTGGGAAGGTAAAGAAAGGGCTCTTCACAGTTTGTAAAAGAATGTGCTGATATTCTATAGTGGGGGGGGGGTGCAAGAGAGCCTTGAATAGACTGAGGCTGTAGATTATGAAACGTAATTGAATGTCTGGAAGTAATGGAATCATTAAAACATTACTTATTCATATAATAAGCATGTGGCATTCATAGCAATAGTATCAGAAAATACGTCCTCCTTTGATAGCTATAATAGTTAGCATTGCATTGTAGTGCAAAGGAGTGAAGAAATAAACAAGACTTTTAGTTTAGAAAATTAAAATAAAAATTCATGTTGTCTTAATTGTTTATTAAACACAATTTTGTAAAACTTGATCATGCATGGTCAAAATTAACAATAAATTCACATTGTGTGTGTGTCTAAAAACTAGACCGTGATTGATCAAAATCAGTAGAGAAAATATATAACTAGATTAATTGAAACAACCAAATTGGGGTTTCTTGATTATTAATCCATTTGTTGAAAGGTACCTATGATGCAGATTTCTTTTTCTAAAATATGGGTCGGTTAAATTGTACACCATAAAATTCCATAGAAATTTTGGTGCGCAGGTAGAATTTGTAGCATCATGAGATTTTTCTCAGAGTTCCTTTAATTCTCGCTTTTAAACTGGTGTATGTAAGACATGAGTGCAGTTAACTACAGTCTGGGGTCAGAACCAATTTTCAGGGATGCCTCGGGCTTTCCTCTGAGGCTGTGCCCTGCACTCAGTGAAGTTAACTATGCCAGAGAAAAGGAATGCTATAAAGATTTCCTACATTAGCATGGGATGGTAATGAGGGAAGCTGGAGAGGGTGACTTTCCCAGCTTTTGAAAACTATGGCAACTCACAAGCATTCCAATAAGACTAGAGGTGACACAAACTACTCTTCTAAGGCCCTGGATGCCCACTGAGTGAACCTTTAGCTCCTTCCTTATCAGTTTCTTAGATCCAGTCAATGACTTTAAGACTCTTTCACTCTCTTTGTTGCTCTCCACGCACCCTTCATCCTGTTACTCAAGCACCTTTAACCCAATGGTCATGATGTCTTCTTTCAAAACCTTATGACAGGCAGCCCTAGAGTCAAAGCAGCTGATTGGTCATTTAATTGAAAGAATCTAGTTTTTCCTTTTTCTTGTGCTTACTCTGGTCAATATTATCTAATATACCGATATATATATATATATTAGATTATATAATAATCTATATTAGATTATATAATAATAGGTATATTAGATTTTATATATATATATATTCAGTACCATGTTGAGGTTAATGTCTTGAATGAAGATATTTGCTTTATTAGATATTTAGACCTGGTTAGGAAGCTTAAATTCAGAAACAGATCCCTAGAATATTTTTTTTTGCTACCCACTGTGTTTCAGTGTTAAAACCTGTTCATTATTGATATATATTTAGAAGTATTTCAGTAAATCTTGTATATACATACCCGTATACACACATACACACACACACACACACACACACATACAATTTAGCAGCAAATTATTTAAATAGATGTAAGGAATTGAGTGGTTGCTAATGAATGTAAATAAATTTTTTCATAATGTACTCGTATAATCACGTCTTGTGTCATGTATCTGAATATGTCCAGGCATATGCACATTTGTGTGTGAATTTAGGTGGGAACCAGAGGCCAACCCCAGTGCCATTCTTCTGGAGTCATTTTCATTGTTTTTGATGCAGAATCTCTCAGTAGGATATGGAATTCATCCATTCAGCTGCATTGGCTAGCCTGCCAACCCCAGAGATCCTCCTGTCTCCACTTCCTAGGGCTAGAATCATAAGAGAGTAGCATAAGCTGGACTGTTTACATGGATGCTGGGAGTTGAGTCCAGTTTCTCATGCTGGCACAGAAAACATTTTATCCACTGAGCTTTCTCTCATGGCCCTGTAATTTGTTATTAATTTTAAAGAAGCTGATTTTTTCTTTATCTTCCACTTTTCATGTTTGGCTCTTCATATCTATGTCTATACATATTATTGATATATATATATATATATATATATATATGTATAATTGAAAAGCATGTCTTTTCATGAATATACACATGCTTATTTAATTCTTGTTATACAAGATGTGCAGAATTACTGGGTAAATTAAAGTTAGTGACTAATGAGGCAGTGGAATCCAGTTATACATTTAATACTTGTTTCTTCTTTTTCTTTAGATAATCTGGAGTCGGCTCTACCTCTCCCGTTATATTGCTTTCGAATATTGCTCATCATCAGAAAGTGACTAGGCTTAGATTACACACCACCCAAAGTGCTCATCTGACAACAGGTAAAACTGTAGTTTTGTTTCTGCTTTGCTTGGTCATACTTACAAATAAAAGGGACAAAACATGGCAGCTTCCAAGTACATACAACATTACAGAATTGTTCACAAGGAAGAATATCATAGAGTGTGTGTGTGTGACTATTGATCAGCTCCAACTGCTAGTAAGCAAGAGGTCAGAGCTGCAGGATATGCTGTTTTCCGGGGGAAATGAGCTTAGGAATGGATGTATAAAGGAAAATCCACCAGGACGAGAGCTGACTTCTTAGGAAAACTCTAAGAGCCAGAAGAGCCCTGGAGCTCAATAATTCTGAAAGACCATGTCTGTCAACCTAGACAAATGTACCCAGAAAAAGTACCTGCCAGAGTTGAAGGAGAAAGAATAGCTTTCTATGATATAGGCAGCCTAAAAATTTTGATACCAACATAAAACACTAAACAGACTATTAGGAGCAATATATGTGTTTGTGACCTTTTTTCGCTAGTTGCTGCTGTATGCATGTTTGTATGTCACCTTTTTTCACTAGTTGTTGCTATATGCATGTTTGTATGTGATATACATTCCTAAATAGAATTTTTCTACCTATATAATGCTACCTGTATGTTTGAGGTCATTTGAGACTGGACAGTTGGTGGTGTAGGGCTGAAGTGGGAGCACCAATTCGTAATAGAGACTACTGTGTTGGTTAATATGTTCCTTGCTTTTGTGATGGAATAGAAAGATATTAAGTTAGGTCTTTGGTAGTGTTCCTTTGTATGGAAATCGTGTTTCCTCTTTGTTGAATGAGTGTTAAGATCTTGGTTTTCTATTTGCACAGTTTGTCTGGTTGTAGATCCTTGGAACGGGCTTAAGGGTTCAGTCTTGAATGGGGTCTCAGAAGTGGCCCTAGCTCATCCCAGGCAGATGGGGAAGACCTATGCAGACTGAGAAAAAGCTCACAGATAATCCTTAATGGTAGATGGTAGGTGATTCAGACTTCTCTTCAAGCAGCTGGAGTGAGTGAAGTGACTGTGGGTGTCTGTGGTCCCAAACTGGGAGTGGGGAGAGCATGCAAGCCCAGGACACAGGATCCTCAAGGAAGTAGCAGCTGTGGATGTGTTGGTGGCAGGAATCTCTCATCTCTGCATGGAGGGCAAGGGCCAGCCAGGAGGAAGCAGAGCTGGTGGGGAAGGGATGAGTATGGTGTCCCTACCTGGAGGAAGGGTGTGCATAATTATGCCTTTAAAAATCATGAGGAAATGAATCATGAAATTTTATTTCTAAGTGTTTACCATATCAAGTGTGATAAAGACTGCAATTATTTGAATTCATGGATTAGTAGTGAAAGACGGTTTCATTTCCATTCTGCACTCTGGAAAATTACAGGGGCCGCCTCTTTACTCCTACAAGAAAAATGTTTGCTCCATAGCAGCTTCCTCCAGTGAGTCTTCAGGTTTTCTTTTATAATTTTCAAGCAAGAAGGAAACTGGTAACATCACAATTTAATTTTAGCCTTTAATCCCAGCACTCGGGAGGCAGAGGCAGGCGGATCTCTGTGAGTTCGAGACCAGCCTGGTCTACAAGAGCTAGTTCCAGGACAGGCTCCAAAGCCACAGAGAAACCATGTCTCGAAAAAAAAAAAACACACACACACACACAATTTAATTTTAAAATGTTGTAATGAGCTCAGATTCTTAAGACAACTTTCAAGGCCATTTGCTGCCATGTGCTTATTTAAGCAAGGTTTATGCTCCATCCTTCCCTCTGCTTTCTTTAAGTATTTTGCATTTCTAAAGATGCTCTTTTTGGTACTCAAATGTTTTGTAAATTGACCAGCAAAATATTAAAACCTAATAAGTGAAGTGTTATAAGAGATAATTAGTATTATAGCATACTATAAAATATAATATAAACCTTATAAAAGTAATTCTTGACAAAAGTGGCAGGTTATTTTACTACCTTGTAACCTAAAAGAAGTGTTTTTCATTAGAAACCAATACCCACTTTACACGCATCATTTGTCTAATGTTGTTGATTTCATTGACATTTTTGTAGACTTTTGTTGTGTGAGGACTTTTTCTCCCCAGGGAGACATTGCAGGCACACACACACACACACACACACACACACACACACACACACACACACACCTGCTCACTCCTGGATGGAGACCCCCTACAGACCAAAGTTACAATCTCAGCAAAGTCCAAGTAATTGAATGGGTTGGATTTTGCGGTTGACTTGCAGGGGTACATATGATTCAAAAGCAGTTGCATGCTGCCAGAAGTCCCCCTCAGGAGCTCCCTGATGCTCCACATACCCCAGAATCCCCTCTTCTTTTCACAGCACCTGCCAGTGGATCCTGCTGCAGGTCATCCACCTCTTGTCCTTGGATAGGGGCCCTGGTGAGAGTTTATGCTTTCCCTGATTTGTGACATTGGCTGACCTCTTGATTCTCATGAATTTCCTGTCTCTGTCCTGTAAAAATACTGTGATTGGGAGCATGTGATGTGTTATATGAAACATAGCCACGGTGGGAGTCAGGAAGAAAGAGAGAAAAGTCCACAGTCCCAGCGTTTTCTACAAAAGTACTCCCCAGGAACCTAACTTTTTCCTCCTGGGCTCCATAACTAAAAGGTCCAGCTATTCCCTAACAGCACCAAAGGCCGGTGCCTAATCCTTTAGCACCACAACACAGGGGGATGCTTAAGGTCAAATCACACAATTTCTATGGAGAGAAATTTTCAGGCTATTAATGTTTTGGAAATTAAGAGCGCTTGACTGTTTCAATCCTTAAGGACATTTAGACACACAGAATATAATAAAAATGTCAAGTGGTTTTTCTTTGGCTTATTTTACTCCCTGAGTACAACATATGACTAAGCAATATATAGAATATAGAGCTAAGAACAATACAATATAATACATAAACTTTCTATTAACCATAGTGTCAATCAAAAGTGGAATTTTTATGAAATTTTTAAGATTATGATTTATACCTCATGTATTTTCTATATTGTCTCAAACTTGTGTAGTTACAAAAATTCTATGACAACTAATAAAAATAATAAAATCACTTATAAAATTAGAATTGTGTCTCTGGGATTCATGGGATTATATTGTCATTTAAATTAATCAGGCGTGTAGTCATATAGAACAATAAAGAAAATAAATATGTACAATTGTTAATAATAGTGGTTAGATAGTGTTTTTCTCTTTTGGGTTTTCTTCTCTAATGTCTGTTAAAGGCATCATTAAAAGGCTGCGATCAGACTACTTTGTAAAGAAAGCTTCATTGAAAAGCCATCCTCAATTGTGTCAGTGCCATCAATGACATTAAAATTCACTTCAGATAAACACTCAGTACAGACTATACAGCCAGGAAACCTTATGGTCTTTATGTCCTTTGCAATAAAATCTTGAAGACCCTTATCTTATAATTAAACTTGATAAAACACTATTATTGATCCCATTCAAACGCTTGTGGGTTGCAGTCACCTTTGTGAGACTATGTGAGGAATCAGAGGACATTAGACTAAATTTCTAGACATGCGACCCCATAGGAAAAATATTAAAGGATCTCATTTTTATTGAACGTTAAAATGAAAAAAAAAAAATCTGAAGTCACAGACATCTAGAATAGAAGGGTGTTTTCTTAGGCTTGAAGCCAAGAAAGAACTTGGTGCTCACAGAGGGGTGCTCAAAGTCCAGAGTTGTGCAGAATCTGTAGGTGCAGAGAGCTCTTCTTACAGTGGGCTTTGTACTACACCGTACTGACTGTGTGCTCTGAGCCTGCTAAGACGGTAGTTCTTAGGTAGTCTCAAGAGAGCCAGCGAGAGAGAATGAGAGAGAAGCTTTGTATTACACAGTACCGACTGTATGCTCTGAACCTGCTAAGACAGTAGTCCTTAGGTAGTCGAGAAAAAGAGAGAGAGAGGATGGGGGAAGGAGGGAGGGAGAGAGGGGAAGGAAGGGATGGGAGGGAGAAGGGAGAAGGGAGAGGAGAGTCATGAACATTGCATAAGGATTTGAGTTAAATTTGAGTTAAATTGAAGACAGTTGAGTTTCATTCCACACTGAATAATAACAGGAAAACATCATTCTTTGTACCTTATACACTTGTGTATGTGTGTGTGTGTGTTTGCAAGGGAGTGTGAAAACCATGTATACATTTACAAAAGTAGGAAATAAACCCTTCCATGGGCTGATTTTGGAAAACATATGGCAAAAATATATACTCATGTACACAGGAATGTGGCTCTTTCTTCTGCATTTCAATGCAGCATCTCTGTACCCAGAGAGGATGTGGAGGCAAGGTTTTCACTGTGTGTAATTTCTTCCATATTAAACTGTGCATCGTCTCCTTCCATGGGAGAATATTTAAGTGTTCTTAGGTGTATACATATTAAAAGAACCTTTTCTCCACTCCCTCAACAAACAAGAACATATGCCCATGTAGCTGTTAGAATTTCATGGCACTGAAGAGAGAGACAGACAGAAAGGCAGAGTGACATATTTGTAAGACTGTTAGCAGCATTAATTTTGGAAAGGCAACATTTACATTTTACATTAAGATATTATTCTTATGGCTTGGTGGTGGCTCAGTTGTTAAGTGCCTGCCACAAAATTGTGAGCACCTGAGTTCAGTCCTACAGAGTCCATATTATAAACAAATGAACAAACAAACAAACAAACAAAAAAACCAATGCCTATAGCTGCAGGGCTGAGGAAGAAGAGTTCTTGGAACTTTTGCTTCAAATAGTAGCCCAAATCAGAAACCTCCTAATACCATGAGAGACTGTTTCTTGAAAAATAAGTGGAGAAAAATTATGGAAAATACCATATTTCAACCCCTGACAACATGCATACAAGCAGATGCATGCACAGAAGAAACTATTCTTTCCTGAAGTGTAGTAGGTGATTTCCTCTATACTTCCAAGTAAGCTTGAAATAATGTTTATTTTTGTTTAGTTTGTACTTCAGGTTGTATCTGGATTCTTAACATCACTTTCAAATATTTTCTTTCCATACATAAGTGTTTGTATGGGGAGGCTTCTTGTTCATTTCCAGTTGCCCAGAACCAAAATAACTACACAGAAACTGTATTAATTAATTCACTGCTTGGCCTATTGGCTCTAGTTTCTTATTGGCTAGCTCTTACATCCTACACTAACCCATCTCCATTGATCTGTGTATTGCCATGTGGCTGTGGCTTACCAGCAAGATTCCATCACTCTGTCTCTGGTGGCGGCTACATGGCTTCCGTGACTCCACCTTCTTTCTCCCAGCATTCAGTTTGGTTACCCAGCCTAACTCTACTCTGCCCTATCACAGGACAAGGCAGTTTCTTTATTCATTAACCAATAAAAGCAACACATATACAGAAGGACTTCCCACATCATCGTTTTCAGATTTTTCCTCTTAATAATCAAGGCTAGGCAGTTTGGATGCTCACCTTACTAGACCTGGACGGAGGTGGGTGGTCCTTGGACTTCCCACAGGGCAGGGAACCCTGATTGCTCTTTGGGCTGACGAGGGAGGGAGACTTGATTGGGGGAGGGGGAGGGATATGGAAGGCGGCAGTGGGGAAGAGACAAAAATCTTTAATAAATAAAAAGAAAAGGAAAAAAATAATCAAGGCTTTATATCTCATTTTGTGTTTTAAATTTCTTATAATTTTCCAAGCACAATAATACTGAATGTATTAATAAAATTATATTGTAGTTAAAATGAAAATGGTATGTCAGCAACTTTCAAGCATGATACAAAACCCAGACTTATAACATGAACCGTTGTTGTTTCTTTTTCAATAGGTTGCTCTATTCTCCAGCAGAGGTGCAGAAATGCCATCAGAGACTTCTGCTCCTCCTCCAGACCCCCTTCCTCCAGATGGAGGTTGGGGTTGGGTAGTAGTTTGTGCTTCATTCATCTCCATTGGATTTTCATATGCCTTCCCCAAAGCTGTGACGGTATTTTTTAAAGATATACAGGAAATATTCCACGCTGGCTACAGTGAAATTGCATGGATATCATCCATCATGCTGGCTGTCATGTATGCAGGAGGTAAGGTTCTTAGTGTACACTGATTTCTGGATTAAGAATAAGTTCCTTATGACCATACACTTCACCTTAACCATGTGCACACATTAATACTCTTATTACATTTTTGTTATTATTATTATTATATATTAAGTTTAAATCAATCAAAAGCATAATTATAATTGCATTTTAATGATTTTTAATGATTAGCATCATGATCTGTTTGCTTAATTTTGAGTCTTGATAGGATATTTAGTGGGATGGTCTGCCGTTTTATCAAAAATGCAAGTGGATCATTTCCTGTTCAGTATGGATTGAATGCAATATAATGTTGGAATTGTTTCTCGCCATTTCCATAGCTAGCCAAAGTGCTTTCTTTAAGCTGAAAAGGAAATGTTTCTGTTAGTTTATAAGCCCAGAATATACTCCATTTTGCACTCCCAGAAGGACTGCTTGCATATACTTTCTACACATATTCAAGTTTTATATGTGGAATAATTCCTTAGTGCTTTAGGACGCCCAAAATGATGACATCGTTTTATTTAAGTGGCTGCTTCCAATTATCTTGTTAGCGTCCATGTTAAAACAAGAGTATAAGTTGTGAGAGAACATGAAAACATCAAGCCACCCCACATTGAAGTGTTAAATAATGGAAATCCCTCATTATTTTGTGATCTATTCTCAACAGTAGATCAGACTTTTATAGATTTTTTTTCATAAATCATCACTTAAAATGTAAGGGTATTAGAATTTTCATTTGTCAACTGGCAATTTAACTTCAAGGGGCAGTTATAGATTCAGAATATAAGAATTCAAAGGTATCGTATAAATCACCTAATATTTTTTATTATATAAGTAAAGAAAACAGAACATTAGCAATAGTAATTAATATTTATTAGAATTTGCTGTTGGCCAAGGCCTTGTTCCTCACTTGATTTGTATGGTACTTCCTAATCCTCTTGACAGTCTAAGAAATGATTGTCATCTTTCTGTTATGGGACTGAGAACATACACTATCATGTATTCCTTGTGCTTCTCTCTCTCTCTCTCTCTCTCTCTCTCTCTCTCTCTCTCTCTCTCTCTCTCTCTCTCTTAAACCAGTTGAAAACCTAATGCAATACTCTTGCCTTATAGTACTGACATACATTCTGCCTGGCCAAAGGTACACCAATTATTCTTTAAGATTCAGTCTCTCTAATTTACTACCAAAACAAGCTTTGATCCATAAATAATCCAAGTTTTTGTATATATGTGCATAATAAATGTGTTGGTATCAGTGTGGATTTTTCCACTTCTTTGTATTTTAATGATTCTAGATTAATAACACTGACATGCTTAAACTGTTGAGTTTTTATTTGATTATCAAAAGTATCATTTAAATTCTTTTTGACCATGTATTTGAAGAACTTTGCTTTAAAAAACACTTTCTGGAAATCAATTTTGGAGACTTGTTTTAAGGATTGTAGCTGTTATTTCTTATGTCTATATAGAAATTGTTGGTATTGCACAGTGTATATTTTTCTTCTATAGCTCTGATATTCATTGATGATTCTTTATTGGGACAACCTATTTTGTTTGACCTGGCAGGTTAAGGTAAATATTAAGATACCTCAGAGGTAATTTTTTCCTGCCTTTTACATATAACTGAAATGGATGCTTCTAGGGACTGGATATCGGTCAATTGAGTTTGCACATCAGGTTCCTTTATGTCTTTAGTAATATTCTGTTGAAAATATTGTTGACTAACTTAAAGTCAAGATACAGAATTGATGTTATTAAGGGCAACACCGGAGTCATCTTCTCCCAACCTTTGATAATAATGATGATGATGATGATGATGATGATGGTAATCCCCATTTCTCATTGCAAGTTCATTTCCTGCTCACTCAGTGCTCCCTGCGGAACCTGGGCTAGCACTCATTACTTTTTGCTGTCCTCTAAACCTGCACCTTCTCACAGGCAAAGAGAAAGGCCACAACTTCAAAGATCATCGGCAGTATTTAGTGTCCAGGCTTGAAGTTTGTGAGCTCCATTTCTCACTGTGTCCTACTAGTCAGAACTGATTATTGCCCTATACTGAGAAGGGGACACAATAATTGTGCTCTTCTTAGAAGAGAAATGAAAAGTGAATAACACCTAGTAAGTCCTGGACAGAACTTCCTTCTCAACAGTCATTCTATCCAAGCAAAGGAGAGCTGGTTTGCAGAGCTTCCATACTTGTGGCACAGACTGTGCACTGGCCAGATCATAAAGGGGTGTGAGAATGATGAATGGCATAATTTTAATTTATTTCAATATACTTTTAATTTTCTCATATTACTTAGTGTGACATATTAATGAATATTTTGCTAGACTCATGATATATAAATAATTTTATTTTATGTATACATCTATTTACTTTTAAAGAAGCATGTAGTATAAATTTGAAGAGGCACAAAGGAGAACTCATTTTTGATATGGTGTCTCATGTATGTCATGCTGGCCTTGATCTCATTGTGTAGATGAGGATGGAGGAAGGATGGCACTGAACTTCTGATTCTCCTGTTCCCCACCTTCCAAGTGTGGGTTATGTAGTTTGGGTGTTTAACATAGGCATAAAGGCTGGGTAAGTTCTCTACCAACTGGAGTACATCACCAGCACACAAAAGAAAACTCTTAAGGTTAATAAGTACAATGGTAACTTAATATTTACAATTTTAGAAAGATAGTTAAAATAGAGAAGTAGAAGAATAAATGATGTCTACATTGAAATGAATAGGTGTTTTATTTGTGGTTGTTTTGAGAAAATAGCTTAAGGCATGTAAAAATCCTGTGTAGTAACCAATAATTCTGAGATTTTGGAGAGATACAGCAAAGTTCTTGGAATCTTGCCCCAAATCCTCAATTATCAGGGTTGCAGCATTTTGCATGACATTCCCGGCTATGTGGGAAATTATACTACCGTCTGGTGTTTGGCTTAAAATTATAAACACAACCTAAGGCCATTGTGATGTGGGATGAAAACCCACAAAACTGCAACACACCCTGCTGCATGTGGAGCTATTCATTCACAGAGTTCCTCTTACAACCATGTTTTATGGTCTTATCCCTGTAACCAGGACTTAGTGTTTGAACAAAAATGTATTTTGTAGTAGGCAAGCTAATGCACACCTGATATCCCAGGACTCAGTAAGCAAAGGCAGGAGGATTGCCACAAGCTTAGAGCTAGCCTGCTCTACATAGCAAGTTCTAAGTCAGTGCTACATAATGAGACCTTTTCTCAAAAAAAAATAAAGGGTGAGGTTGGGTGGCACTTGCCTTAAGTCTCACCAATCAGAGGCAGAGGTAGATAGATCTCTGTGAGTTCAAGCCTAGCCTGGTCTACATAGTGAGTTCCAGTACAGCTGGAACTGTGTAGGAAGACCCTACAAACAATGAATACGTAAATGAATTAGGAAGAGCAAGGGAGCCTTCTGGGAAATCCAGTCTTCTAAATATAGCAGGATGCTGTGTCCATGAAATCTCATCATTATGTATAAATGGAACATGAACAGTTTCAACATCAGTTGACATTTCAGTGTGGTTGGGTGAATTTTCCTCAAACCCTACTACTAGATGGAAAGTTATACGCAATTAATGACTGATGAGACTTTTCCTCAGGGATGATCTTTCTAATTGATCATGGTCACCTAACACCAAGTGGTCAGTCCCATAAACATACACATACATATAACACTAAATGGACTCTGCAGGGACACACACACACAAACTTACACACACACACTCACACACACAGACACACACACACACCACCACCACCTGCAGGGACACACATGGACACACACACACACACGCACACACACTCACACACACACACGTACCACCACCAACAACAATAATAAAGATAAAAGAGGCCATGGATCTGAGTCAAGTAGAGAATGGGAAGAGCTGAATGGGAAAATGGTGAGAGAAATAATGTAATATAATTAAAATCTATGGTAAGGATGCTAGTTAGCTTTCCACAATTGATGACTTCATGCTGGGGAGTGGGAAGGAAAGGACTCTGTTCTCAGGCGCAGCCACTGAGAGCTTGACCACACTCTGGTGACTATATAGATAACACAAATAGGACTTGCATTTATTTTGATTGTTGTTTTGTTGCGGGGGGAGGTCACAGGAAGAACTGGAAAGTGAGTGTGATTGGCAGGTATGATGTGAAATTCCCCAAGGATTAATAAATTATTGTGTTGAAAAGATATTTGTATTAATAAAGTATAAAATAAAACAAAAATAGAAATAAAGGAAGAAAAACATTGGTACTAATCATAGAAATAATACATTTTACATTAAGCTATAATTTTTAAAATTAGAAATTTATATGTATATATAAATCAAAAATTAATAAAGGACATGACTTTGAAAGAACAAGGAATGGTATATTGAAGGGTTTGATAGGAGAAAAGGAAAGGGAAAAATTATACAATTATATTATCATCTCAAAAATAAAAGGAAAAGAATAATTTTATAAATCTAAGTAACAGTAAATGATCTGTCTAGACAACATTCCACACAAAATATGGTGTGACATATTTATTTATTCTTTCTTTCTTTCTTTCTTTCTTTCTTTCTTTCTTTCTTTCTTTCTTTCTTTCTTTCTTTCTTTAAGATTTCTGTCTCTTCCCCGCCACCGCCTCCCATTAATAAAACCAGACTCGCTGAACATAGCAGACAATGAGGACTACTAAGATCTCAAGAACAATGGCAATGGGTTTTTGATCCTACTGCACGTACTGGCTTTGTGAGAGCCTGGGCAGTTTGGATGCTCACCTTACTAGACCTGGATGGAGGTGGGTGGTCCTTGGACTTCCCACAGGGCAGGTGTGACATATTTTTGACAGCTTTAAAAAGCCCTCAAAGTGCACCAGCCTTTAGTGTTTTCTGAGGAATGGGGAACTGACTAATCTAAAGGAGAACATTCCCCTGCTCTGCATGTGTGTATGTTCATCAAAGGACAACTTGCAGAGGTCAGTTCTTCCACCACATGGGTTTTGTGGGAATTGGTTTTGTGTTGCCAGACTTGGCCGCAAGTGCCTTCACTCACTGAGCCATCTAATGGCCTCTCTCATTTCCAATTTTTTAAAGACAAAATGTATACAAAAATATCATTGAGTTTGTATTGTTTTAGCAATCTACTGCTTGCTATTGGGCCTCCCCTTAAGTGTGGTTTGTATGACCAGTCAGACTCCATAGCAGAAATCAAGTGTGATTGAGTACTTTTCTGCAATGCTTATTAAGTCTTCTGTCAAAAGTACATTGTCCTAGGTCTTACCTTCAACCCCTTTTACCTTGATTTTTATTGGTAACTATGTATGACATCACAGTTCCTTCTTATAGAGGACAAAGTCAATATTTGATTCAAAATATTTAAGCTTTTGCCTACTGTTGCGTAGACCTCTACTCATATAGGCTTTCCTTGGTTGATGATTATAAATAAATTCAAAGACCATGAGGTGAAAAGGCATATGGTTTAATGAAGCAGCTGTGGTTGTGTTCCACACAATGCTAACTGCATTTGCCTAGAGAGCATCTAAGATCTGACACATTCATTAGGGCTTTGCGTTCCACCTATTAATCACTGCAGTGGGGTCACCCAGAAATATGGAGCATTGTTCTGAGGTCTGGCCTAGGATGTCAGGGCTGGAGCCTCTTGTAGTAATTAGTTGGCATCTGGGCCCTGGTAGCAAGGCGTTATCTTCCCTCCTGATGTCTAAATTAAAAAATGAAACTAATAAAAGGTATGCAGAAAGGGCGGAAAAGGAATGCAAATTACAGTGATACATTACTTCATCCTTAGAATAATGGCACTATATTACAGCACCCCATCTGGCTGCCCAGATGGTCTCCTGGAGTTCTAGCACATTTTGGCAAATAGGTCAAGCTGAGTGGTCATCCCATTAATACATCACTAAGTAGAGGCAGAAAGTGTATTATAATCTTAACTTTCTGTGTTGTTTTAATGAATGTGGGATTTATTTCCTGAATAGGGATGGCATAGGATAGTGTTTTAGTGCAAAACTTGTCTGTTAGTCGAGAGATAACACCAGGATGAATACATGCAGGACTTCCAAATACAAATTTTGAGGAGCCAGTCTATATGATTATTTCGTGTGTGTGTGTGTGTGTGTGTGTGTGTGTGTGTGTGGTGTATGTTTTTCCTGTAATTCAATTTGGAGGGGAAAATATCAATCATTATGGAGAACAGAATTGACTTTGTCACCCTGGAAATTTGTTCTGTATTATCACAGAGGTGACTAACAAATGTGATAAAGAAAGACATTGTTTTATTATGTACCACTGTGAACATCAGACCATTGAACTTATTTTCCTCAGGACTAGGAAGCAAAAGATCTTAGCATAGCAGATTGGTGGACATAATATATGATGTTATCTGTTCTTTTAAAGATTTAAATAAAGCTATTTTTTCTGCTTTATAGTGTTTTCCTATTTGGGGGAGAACATTAATATAAGTCACATAATAATGCTCTCCTAAATACAATAAAAATGAAAGTCATTCTGTTCTTGTGTTTGAGATCGCTAGGGCTTTCTGCTTAGCCTTCTAAATCCCAGAAAGTCGTGCAGGTCTACTCCAGCAGTCCTGCATATATTATGCTTGTACCACATTAGATTTCTTTCAGGCCTGTGTGTTGCTGAAGATTTTGGTGGCTTGATCATATACAGATCTTATATTCTGACTCTTACAATCTTTTTCCCCCTTCTTCCATGATGATCCCTAAACTTGAGTTCTGGTCCCTAAAATGATCCCTAAGATTTGTGATGCAGATGTTCCATTTAGAGCTGAAAACACCCTAATCTGTTACTCTTTGTATGCTGACCAGTTGTAGGCCTCTAGCTCAATTGCTGCCTACTCCAAAACCAAATTCTGAAGAGGGATTGCAGATGCACTGATGGGTTTGGGGTACAATTCCAGTATCAAGCATGAGTTATATCTTATGGAGTGTACTTTAAATATAATCAAAAAGTGGTTGGTTACACCTATAACATTCCTGATTCTGTTGCACCATGAGTGTATCTTTCCAGGGAAGTCTACTGTAGTTCAAAGGATTTACAACTTAGGAGAATTGCTGAATATTTTTCTTCATCAGTAGTGTAAACAAAACCTCACAGTACTATGAAAACTAGCCAGTAGGGAAACTTTCAAGATGGTACCAGTTTTCTTTTCTCCATGACATATGATTCAAGTATGTGATATTTTCAGCAATATGATCTTATCACCAAGATGGGTGGCAATAGCCTATAATGTTTGAGGTTCTATGGGACCCCACTACAAATTATAAAAAAAAAAACCCAATCAAAAAACTTAACCTATACCTGATACTGGGCTTTTTTTATTTGGTAAATTGTGATGTCTGCAAGATATATTATCACCCCATTATAGGGTAGCATCATTTAATGTCTTTTTATGTGTGTGGACTTACATAATTTATGACGTTTCTATAGTAGTAGCTTCCTATATTGTCTTTTCGGAGGTCTTTAGCATTAGCTATCCCTTCCCATACTACATCCTGTATACTAAATTCCCTTCCATTCCCCACCATGTTTAATCCTTGCTATTCTATTATTTCCCCTTTCCTCATTCATATTATTTGGTTTCTGTCCCCTTCATTTGAGATCTCACATGGCTGTTTAATAGTTTTCTGATTCTATGTGTAGTCCAATTTAATCATACATATCCAAAGTTTCAAACCTAGCTCTCATAAGTGAGAGACAACACTTGGTGTCTATCCTTTTTGGTCTGGGTCATCTCACTAAGAATGATTGTTTATAGTTCCATCTATGAAGCTACAAATTTCACTTTTTATTTTGCAATAGCCGAATAATATTCCACTGTGTGAATGTAACACATTTTCATTATCCATTTTTCTATTCATTCTTATATGCACATCTAGGCAGTTTCTATTTTCTGGGTATGATGAATAGAGCAGAAATGAATACAGATGTGCTGTTATTCTGGTGTAGGAAACAGAGTCCTTTTGGAATCGTTGGCTCTGTGGTAGATCCTTTTCTATCTTTTTGAGGACCACACAGATTTCCATAGTCAGTTCATTAGTTTGTATTACCACAAATAGTGAGTGATAAGTGTTCTTCTCTGTATACATCCATACCTGCCTCTGTGGTCATTTTTTTTTTTCAGACCTAGCCATTGTAATTGAATAACATAGCACCTTCAACAAAAAGTTCTTTTCAAATTTTATAGCTATAGATGAAAGAATGAAGTAAGTTCCTTTTTTCTCCCAGTACACAACTGAACTCCAAATTGTTGGAGAAATTCTATATGAGATCTAATTCCTGGATCTGCTAGAGGAGGAAATAGAGCATGCACTTCAATGGATAGGCACAAATAACTTTCTCAATAAGACCTCAGTAGCAAAGTCATTGAGACAAATTGACAAACAGGGCCTCATGAAACTGAGGACATCAGATAAATGGTGACCAAAATCCGGCAAACTGTAGGAAGCTTTGCATCAAAACCTACAAAGAAGCGTGTTCCTAATGGAAGAGTAGTATTATTCCCTGGGCAAAGAGAGGATCTAAAGAGATGGAGCTTCCATTCTCATTTCTCAGCTCTGTGAACAGCTTTTGTTTCCTAAGACTAATGGCATTATGTTTATTCTGATGAGTCATCCCTCATGACAAACTTTGCATGTACTTTATGAGGTAGATCTTATGTCAAAGCACACATACAATGTTTGTGAATTCTGTTGTCTAATGAAATTGAGTATTTTATCATCAGTCAGAGGTGGAGCATATGATGTCGTTTGATACACAGAATGACATTTATGTTGCACAATCCTGGGACAACATTGTTTTTTTTTTTTTTTTTTTTTTTTTTTGTGAAAGCTCATGATTTTTTTTTTTTCATAAAAAGGTCAGCTTAGAACTGGATCACTTGGCCCTTTCTCTTCTTATCACCACCCAGTTCAAAATGCTTGCATCTCTTAATAGCCAGCATCCTCTTAGATCTGCAGTTGGGCTCCACACATTCTAGTCTCAGCACAATCTTCTTTGTAGTTTTCGCCTTTTTGCGGAAACTAGGCTTAGTCTGCCCACCATAGCCACTCTGTTTCCTGTCATAACGCCGCTTTCCTTGGGCATACAAAGAATCTTTGCCCTTCTTGTACTGGGTCACTTTGTGGGGTTGGTGTTTGCCACATTTCTTGCAGAATGTACGGCGGGTCTTAGGAACGTTCACCATGTTGGCGGGTGCGATATCGGCACAGAAAGAAAGAGGGAAGGCCAGCAACGGAAGTTTATAGGCGGTGAACATTGGGGTTTTTTTCGGCATTTTACTGGTGCACAGAAGACAGAATAGTATGAGAATTGAAATAATGAGCTGCAAAGTAAGAGCCATGGAACTGAGGACCTAATCACTTGGTTGGTTTTATTGTTGTGAAATTCAAATTATTTATTTATTTATTTGCTTTTTATTGATTTATTATTCTCTCCCTGTGTTTAGGGGGTGTGCAAGAATCTTTCAGATCTGTGTCCTTGCTCATGGTAATTGTTCATAACAAACAGTAAATTTTTGAAGTTTGCTAATTTAACAGTCTATCTATCTATCTATCTATCTATCTATCTATCTATCTATCCCTTCCTCTTCCCCTCTGCTGCCCTCCACCTTATCCAGCCTTTATGCCTGTACCATAGCATGTGTGTGAAGGTTGCAGTGCACTGTCAGGTGTCTTTCCTTCCCTCCATCTTGCTTGAGACGGGTCTTTCTTGTACACTATTGTGAGAAGCTTGTGGCCCTCCACTCCCATCTCTCTGCAAGGGCTCCGAGATCGCAGAAGCTCGTGGACTATGACTCTGTCCTTCATGTGGATTCTGAAGATAAGAAATCAGGTAGCCAAACTTGTGTGGCAAGTGCTTCACCCACTGAACTGTTTCTCCAGACATTCTTCTCTTGACCTTATTATCCATTTAATAGTGAAACCACAGATAATAAACAAGGATGACAGAACAGCCTGCACCAATGAACTTTGGAAACCAAGGGTGAAGCAAGAAGAAACAAGTCAATAATCAGTTCCAAAGCAAATATACAGTCTCTATACTTACTTGCCGTGGCTTTTCCTCTGAGATCCCTTCTGTTTGGTAATGGAGTAGACACTGTCCCTTCTTTTCTTTCTTTTTTTTTTTTTGGTTTTTCGAGACAGGGTTTCTCTGTGGTTTTGGAGCCTGTCCTGGAACTAGCTCTTGTAGACCAGGCTGGTCTCGAACTCACAGAGATCCGCCTGCCTCTGCCTCCCGAGTGCTGGGATTAAAGGCGTGCGCCACCACCGCCCAGCGACACTGTCCCTTCTTTTGGCCATTTTTGGAAAACCTTTCTTAATCTTCAAGTTATCATTTCCTCTCACCTCTCACTAAATGAGTGAGCATTTAGGACACAGGCATTTGGCTCAGGCTCCATTGTTTCAGTGTAGCAAGGGGAGTTTCTATTCACAGGCTTCTGATTGGAAGAAGCAGATATACTAGGTTGTAGAGAATTCATTACCCATTTGGCATAAAAGTAGGAACAAGAATTGAGTCAGGGGAAATTGAGGTATGGACTATAAATACCTGACTATTAGATTAGATCAAGATAATCGGTTCTGATTGCCATCTGACCTTGAGTTTTTTCATGCTTCTTTTTTTTCTCTGATTTACTAAATGGTTTCTTCAGTGAACCAAATCTTTAATTGAGTTTTTTGTTGGTGGTTTTGTGTGTGTGTGTGTGTGTGTGTGTGTGTGTGTAGCCCAGTCCAGCTTTGAACTTGCTCTGTAGCATAGGCTGTCTTCAAACATGAAATTTTACTGCCTGAGTCTCTCAAATTTCAACTAAGCCTCTTTAACAGGTCTTGAAAAATGGGAAAGAGATTTCATCTTTTCACATTCTTTTATTGACTTTAAGTTTGAAAACATCAGAGAATTCAAATATACTGTATCTTTTTTTCTTTCTTTCTTTCTTTATTAAATATTTCTCTCTCTTCCCCACCTCCGCCTCCCCTTTCCCTCCCCCTCCCCCAATCCATTCCCCCTCCCTCGTCAGCCCAAAGAGCAATCAGGGTTCTCCGTCTCGTGAGAATTCCAAAGAAAACCCTCCTCCGTCCAGGTCTCGTAAGGTGAGCATCCAAACATCCTAGGCTCCCACAAAGCCACTACATGCAGTAGGATCAAAAACCCATTGCCATTGTTCTTGATGTCTCAGTAGTCCTCATTGTCCGCTCTGTTCAGTGAGACCGGTTTTAACCCAGGCTTTTTCATACCCAGGTCATCTGGCCTTGGTGAGTTCCCGATAGAGCATCTCCATTGTCTCAGTGTGTGGGTGCACCCCTCGCGGTCCTGAGTTCCTTGCTCATGTTCGCTCTCCTTCTGCTCCTGATTTGGACCTTGAGATTTCAGTCCGGTGCTCCAATGTGGGTCTCTGTCTCTGTCTCCTTTCATCGCCTGATGAAGGTTAATATTCAGGAGGATGCCTATATGTTTTTCTTTGGGTTCTCCTTCTTATTTAGCTTCTCTAAGAACCCGAATTATAGGCTCAATGTCCTTTATTTATGGCTAGAAACCAAATATGAGTGAGTACATCCCATGTTCCTCTTTTTGGGTCTGGCTTACCTCACTCAGGATAGTGTTTTCTATTTCCATCCATTTGCCTGCAAACTTCAAGAAGTCCTTGTTTTTTACTGCTGAGTAGTACTCTAATATGTATATATTCCATACTTTCTTCATCCATTCTTCAATTGAGGGGCATCTAGGTTGTTTCCAGGTTCTGGCTATTACAAACAATGCTGCTATGAACATAGTAGAGCATATATTTTTGTTGCATGATAAGGCCTCTCTTGGGTATATTCCCAAGAGTGGTATTGCTGGGTCCATGGGTAGGTTGATCCCAAATTTTCTGAGAAACCGCCACACTGCTTTCCAGAGTGGTTGTACAAGTTTGCATTCCCACCAGCAATGGATAAGTGTACCCCTTTCTCCACAACCTCTCCAGCATAGGCTATCATTGGTGTTTTTGATTTTAGCCATTCTGACAGGTGTAAGATGGTATCTTAAAGTTGTCTTGATTTGCATTTCCCTGATCGCTAAGGAAGTTGAGCATGACCTTAGGTGTCTTTTGGCCATTTGAACTTCTTCTGTTGAGAGATCTCTGTTCAGCTCAGTGCCCCATTTTATAATTGGGTTGATTAGCCTTTTACAGTCTAGTTTCTTAAGTTCTTTATATATTTTGGAGATCAGACCTTTGTCAGTTGCGGGGTTGGTGAAGATCTTCTCCCAGTCAGTGGGTTGCCTTTCTGTCTTAGCGACAGTGTCCTTTGCTTTACAGAAGCTTCTCAGTCTCATGAGGTCCCATTTATTCAATGAGGCCCTTACTGTCTGTGCTGCTGATGTTATACGTAGGAAGCGGTCTCCTGTGCCCACTTGTTGTAGTGTAGTTCCCACTTTCTCTCCTATCAGGTTCAGTGTGTTCAGACTGATATTGAGGTCTTTAATCCACTTGGACTTGAGTTTTGTGCATGGTGACAGACATGGATCTATTTTCATTTTTGTACAGATTGAAATCCAGTTTTGCCAGCACAATTTGTTGAAGATGCTCTCTTTTTTCCATTGTATAGTTTTAGCTCCTTTATCGAAAATCAGGTGCTCATAGGTTTGTGGATTAAAGTCAGGGTCTTCTATACGGTTCCATTGGTCGACTTCTCTGTTTTTATGCCAATACCAAGCTGTTTTTAATACTGTAGCTCTGTAATAGAGTTTGAAGTCAGGGATGGTAATGCCTCCAGACGTTCCTTTATTGTATAAGATTGTTTTGGCTATCCTGGGTTTTTTATTTTTCCATATAAAGTTGATTATTGTCTTCTCCAGATCTGTGAAGAATTTTGATGGGATTTTGATGGGGATTGCATTGAATCTATATATTGCTTTTGGAAGAATTGCCATTTTTACTATGTTGATCCTCCCAATCCAAGAGCAAGGGAGATCCTTCCATTTTCTGGTGTCTTCTTCTATTTCGTTCTTCAAAGTCTTAAAGTTCTTGTCATATAGATCTTTCACTTCCTTGGTCAGGGTTACCCCAAGATATTTTATGCTCTTTGTGGCTATCATGAAAGGTGATGCTTCTCTGATTTCCCTCTCTGTTTCCTTATCCTTACTGTATAGGAAGGCAACTGATTTTTTCGAGTTGATCTTGTATCCTGCCACATTACTGAAGGTGTTTATCAGCTGTAGGAGTTCTTTGGTAGAGTTTTTGGGGTCGCTTATGTATACTATCATATCATCTGCAAATAACGAAAGCTTAACTTCTTCCTTTCCAATACGAATCCCTTTGATCCCCTTATGTTGTCTTATTGCTATTGCTAGAACTTCAAGCACTATATTGAAGAGGTATGGAGAGAGTGGACATCCTTGTCTTGTTCCTGATTTTAGTGGGATGGCTTTGAGTTTTTCTCCGTTTAATTTAATGTTAGCTGTCGGTTTGCTGTAAATAGCTTTTATTATATTTAGGTATGACCCTTGTATCCCTAGTCTCTCCAATACCTTTATCATAAAGGGGTGTTGGATTTTGTCGAATGCTTTTTCAGCATCTAATGAAATGATCATATGGTTTTTTTCTTTCATTTTATTTATATGGTGGATTACATTGATAGATTTGCGTATGTTGAACCAGCCCTGCATCTCTGGGATGAAGCCTACTTGATCATAATGGATAATTTTTCTAATGTGTTCTTGAATTCGGTTTGCCAGTATTTTATTAAGAATTTTTGCGTCGATATTCATGAGTGAGATAGGCCTGTAGTTCTCTTTCTTGGTTGGGTCTTTGTGTGGTTTTGGTATCAGGGTAACTGTAGCTTCATAAAAGGAATTTGGCAATGACTTTTCTGTTTCTATACTGTGAAATACATTAAGGAGAATAGGTATTAGCTCTTCTTGGAAGTTCTGGTAGAATTCTGCATTGAAACCATCTGGTCCTGGGCTTTTTTTAGAGGGCAGATTTTTGATAACTGCTTCAAGTTCTTCGCGACTAACAGGTCTATTTAGATCTTTCACCTGGTCTTGGTTTAGCTTTGGTATATGGTACTTATCTAAAAAGATGTCCATTTCTTTTGTATTTTCCAGTTTTGTGGCATACAGGCTCCTGTAGTAAGATCTAATGATTCTCTGAATTTCCTCTGTGTCTGTGGTTATGTCCCCCTTTTCATTTCTGATCTTATTTATTTGCGTGTTCTCCCTCTGTTGTTTAATTAGTTTGGATAGGGGTTTGTCTATCTTGTTGATTTTCTCCAAGAACCAACTTTTTGTTTCATTGATTCTTTGGACTGTTTTCTGTGTTTCTATTTTGTTGATTTCTGCCCTCAGTTTGATTATTTCCAGTCTTCTACTCCTTCTGGGCACATCTGCTTCTTTTTTTTCTAAAGCTTTCAGGTGTGCTGTTAAGTCCCCAATGTATGCTTTCTCCGTTTTCTTTAAGTGGGCACTTAGTGCTATGAACTTTCCTCTTAGCACTGCTTTCATCGTGTCCCATAGGTTTGAGTATGTTGTCTCTTTATTTTCATTAAATTCAAGGAAGACTTTAATTTCCTTCTTAATTTCTTCCTTCACCCAGGTGTGGTTCAGTAGTTGATTGTTCAGT